AAAATCCAACAATACTCTTAAAGTATTGATTCTCTAATGGGTTCTTTGCGGATTTTCCAGATTGCAACGAAAGCATCTCCGAGTTACACAAAAAATATAAATGATTGCGGCATTTATATCATCCCAAGGGAGGGCTTCTTTTCTCTTCTTCCTGTTATTTATCCGTGTATGAATACAAAGTTTTGTTGTGTAGTTTAAGTTCGTCGCAAAGTTCTACTGTTGTGCAAGTTAGAAAAGTTAAATCGAGATATTTTATGTGGAAACTACACCACCACCAGACAATTCGGTTTAATTATTTCTATTAGCATCCCAGCTGTCGTGGTTTGGTTTACAATGTGGGTGGTCACCATTATGCAATGCATGCGGTGCATCTACTCAAGAACTTTTGTATTCACAAATTCTCTATATTTAAACTTGAAGTCGATATTCAGGTTTTACTCGTAGTCAAACGTAAACACATTTTAAAAATTTTATTGCATTTTCCTATCTTGAATATGCATCTGTTATTGACCAATACATTATTTATTCAAAATTGTTTATGGGAACAAACCGCGGGGCCCCAACACAGCATTTCAATCAACTTCATGTTTAAATTTCATCACGTGTTGTGTACACATGCTGAAAGTCAATTAATTTGGCTATTACAATATGTCTCATTTTTAAATCTAATTAACCATTCTTTGTTAGCATGTATGCACGTAAATCCTTTAAAAAAGTGGCCAGTGACACGTGGCAGGTAAAATCATAAAAAAATGCTTGGGGTTATAATATTGATCACGATGGGGCGTTGCGTAGGTTCCCTCTTGGAAGGTAGGGTTGCGTAACTGCATTCAGAACCCTCAGCGGCCCAACATATTGTTCATTACGAACCCGCATGCTGGATATCCATAAACTAAATGTTCCACCATATCTACAACATCCAATGCAATCTTCGTGATCATTTTAGACAAATCACGACCAAAACTTCTCTGACTAACTGATGTATTGACATGGAGCTTGCATAAGATAACACTGCATCCTATTTCCATGGGTGCAACCACACCCTCTTATAACACAAGCATTTAACCGGTTATTTTAGTTAGGTCATGGTCAGGTGATGGTCAATAGAACAGACCTCTTCGGAAGGTTGATGTTTCACATTTATAAAATTTCTCTGGTAGGTTTTCTGGTAAAGAAAATTAAAAGTTTGAATCCAAGCGTGTTTTACTTAAACTATCTACGAGTACTTAAAAAATAGTTGTTAAATGACAAGTAATTTAAAAATTTCATTGTTTTACAAGTGAAATATTTTTAGAATTCTTTGTGTTTGAGTTCTGTAATTTTTTTAAGTAACCTAATATACATATCCATTTTTTGAGATAAGAACTATGATTCAAAATATACATACAGGGTGTTTAAAAAATCGCGCACTTCCGTGACACTGTGTCATCGGGCGGTGCCCTAGACAACAAGAAAAATGTTTAAAAAAATCAATCTCTAAAAATTCCGAAGTTATGAGTGTTTAAATTTTGCACTATGACTATTTATTTCTGTTGGAAAAAAAATTTTCCAAGTTTTTTTGCTACAGGCTATTAGAAGAGGAAACAAAGAAGCTGTATCCAAAATTGTAATTCTGTTTAGTTTTATTTATGGCTTTTTATTCACAAAATTTTTGTACCTTCAGTAAATAATTATAAAAAAACATCTACAAGATCATCAGTATCATTGAATAGACCTAAAAAAATGTCAAATGTCAAAAAATAAATTTTTAAACATTTTTTGAGTACTCTGGGGGACTACCCAATTACTCCCTTTCAAGAAAGTGCGTGATTTTTTGAAACACCCTGTATATGTAGTTATGTTTACAGTTAAAATATAGTTTTTGCGGAAAACGTTTTAAAAGCAAACAAAACATTTTTGTTAAAGCTCCCAAAAGAACATTCACATTTCTTATTATTTATGATTAATATCATCAGAGCAAAAATTTCTCTAACATTGTGAGCTTCGAATTTTCATCATCATGCCACCTTAGTAACCAGATTATTTTTTTCGTCCGTAAGAACTCTATTTAAGGTACACCCAAAATAACTCTTGCGTACTATTTTATTGAGTAATACGAAAAGATTCATTTTGGGAATTTAAATGAGTATAAAATATCTATTTTTGGGAGCATATACAAAAAAACTACAAAATTGTAGAAAAAATTTATAGTAGATTGCTATTAAAGACATTGCATAACTTGAAATGAA